CTTAATAAAATTCAAAATTTTTACTCTATTTCCTTTTAAAAAACTAAATTTACTTGATTACCTACATAGTTTTGAAAAATATCCCTTTAATTAATTTAACTAAAAAGTTAATAAAAAGAGAGAAATAAACATGGCCAATAATTGAAAAAAAAAAAAGGTTGGTAAAATATTTATGTAGAAAGATATTAATATGAAGTATGATGTGGCATTGGTGGGCCCTATTGTAGCTAAATTGGAGAAAAGAATAATATAAAAATATATATTAAATGCCAAACCGTTAAGCTTTAACGGTAAAATGTGACAGTGTTAACCAGGAATGGATGGAGGGACGAAATTGAACACCTTTTGAATAGTAGAGGGAGGACATGTGAGTTCAAAATGAAGTAGAGGGATGACTTTGGTGATTACATAGTAGAAGGGTTAAATTGAACTTTTTCACAAAGTATAGGGACGATAGTCGGCTTTAACCCTTTTAGCTAGAAAATCCAAAACAATTACACCCAGAAAAGAAAAAGAAAGAAAGAGAGGAAACAGAGTCCTCTACAGTCCACACTCCTATGAAATAGGACTAAAAAATTAATAATAAAAAAAAAAAGAAGAGAAAACCACTTAATCTCACATTAATCTTATATCTGTGTCTGCACCCGCATGCCAAACAGGTCACGATGCTCCAAACAGCCACCTGAATCCGAATTTCACCATCGAAGCGCCTCGGGATGACTGGTGAGGGCGACTGTGACTGGTTTGGGTCGCGGGGGCTTTTTTACTCGCGGGGGGCTTTTTGGTCGCGGGGTTTTTTTTTTGGTCCCCAGGCAATGAAAGTGGGCGTGGCGCAGGCAATTAAAGTTAATCTGAAACAAAACCATATTTTAAGCTGTGTGAAGGGTTGAGAGTGAGTTTTTCTTAGGAATTGAGAGGAAAATGAGAGAAAATGTTTACTTGGTTGAAGAGAGAACTTTGTGCTTTGAGATGATGGGAGTTGAAGGGAACGGGGTGAGGTTGTATGTATAGGAATTTTGGGGGTGCCGATCCATTGACTATTCATGAAGTATTTTCCTTAGTGAAGTCCACATGCCGCAAAATCTTTGAATCTTCGAATGGTTGGCGTCCATGTTCACCCCAAAAGTTCCTCTATTCGGTTTTCCCTCTCATACGTTTCTTCACTTTGAAGGTGGGATCGATCTTTGAATGAACTCGTGTGGTTTAGCATTTTTTTTATTATTATTATCTCGAATATAATCTGAGAAACGTCAGCTTAATTAGTCATGAACTCATGATCACGGATTGGACTCCATTTTGTTTTTGCCTTTTTTTTTTTTT